GTGGCTTGTTACTGTGGTTTATAGTGGCTGGTTACTGTGGTTTTATAGTGGCTGAGTACTGTGGTTAATATTTGATGGTTTGGTTACTGTGGTTTATAGTGGCTTGGTACTGTAGTTTATAGTGGCTGGTTACTGTGGTTAATAGTGGCTGGTTACTGTGTTTTATAGTAGCTGGTTACTGTGGTTTATAGTAGCATGTTACTGTGGCTCATTAACTCAAGAGTTGAGTCTTTTAACCTTCTTTTTAAATTTTATTGTTTTGATATTTATAATCCATTAAGATTTTATTGTTTTGAAATTCATAATACATTAATATTGATTGTTTTGATATTCATAATCCATTAAGAATTATTGTTTTGATATCCATAATCCATTAAGATTTATTTTTTTGATATTATTTAAAAAATTGAGATCGCTTTTCTCATAGCCTAACAAACAAGTTAAAACAGGAAGTTATCAGAAAGTTTCCTAAAAAACTGATACGTTTGGCTGTTAATAATATAATTATTAAAGAATATTTTATAGTAAAGAATAGAATGATTTGATCCAGTGACGTAGCCAGGATTGGTGTCACCCGGTGCGTAAATCTCATAGTGTCACCCCCCCCCCTTTTTTTTTTCGCCTTCCACGAAAGATTTCTTGTTGTTAAAATAAGTCTACAGCAAAAAGAATGACAGAACAAAAGCAAAATAATTGAAGGTCAATGGGTCAGGAGGTCAATGTATTTAGAACTGTAATAACGTTAGGTTATAGTTATATTTTACGTTAAATTTACTTTATTTCAAATAAAATGTTCCTTCCCTGGTCTTCAAAGCTGCACGCCTGGCAATCGTGCTCAAATGTTAAGGGGCGGGCTAGTGACCAATCAGCGGCAATATATATCTTTGAGTATTTCCGGGTTTTGATTTATTTTGTTACAAAAACCTTTTTTTCAAATTTAATCAATTTTAATTAATTATTAAAAGATTTTTAGAAAATTTTACGACATATTATTTTGTTATCCTACCCTATAAATTGGTAAACATTCATTTTTTATGTTTTTAATTTTTACTGATTTTTTCATGAACCTAAAATCGCCCGACCACATCCTATTTGGTATAAATGGAAAGCTTAATTTCTTAGAATTACGATTAAAATAGCGTCCTGTCACTTGCGATAGTTAACATTTGGCGTTGAATCCTTTTTTTTAAAATGAAATTTGGTTAGACCAAGCAGTGTGTGCTCTGTAAATATGCATTCTGTTCCACCTGGTGTCATCCCCTGAGATGGTTCACACGGTGCGGTCCGCACCCCCGCACCCCTTTAGCTACGCCACTGCGTTGATCAAAATTGATTTCATTTTCAGCCCGCTCTTTCGTCCATTATTTTCTCAAGCAGCTAGAAGCTATCAAAGTTAAAGTGATGCTAAGATTGATCAAAGGCAGGCAGAGGGTTATTTTATCCCCCCCCCCCCGCCTCAACACAGATTGGAACCAGCTGCTTACTCCCCTCCCCTCCCTGTGTAGGCGCCCATGAGATCCACTTATCCACTGAGTTGTATCAAGGATAAAGAATTATTTAAATGCCCTACCAACCATCATGGCTCACACTGCTGTTCACCGACGATGCCGCCTATACATCGGAAAAGGAAGGTAGACCCCCAACAGCTAGTATTTAACCTCTCCTTTACATCACACATGGAAGGTAGACCCCCAACAGCTAGTATTTGACCTCTCCTTTACATCACACATGGAAGGTAGACCCCAACAGCTAGTATTTGACCTCTCCCCTAAAAAGAGTTTGGAATGACCATCTGTTTAAAGAAAACAAATTCTATGGGTGTGTATTGATAATGATGATTGTTCCGAATGTCGAGTGGCAGTGAATATAGGAATTCAACTGCAGGGGATACGCCAAACAAAGTCCTGGTAGCAACATGAGTAATACGATAGAACAGGGAAAACCAGCACTCAAGTTTCTCCACGCAGAAGTGCACCCGAGACTGTCACTCAAATTTCTCCAGCCAGAAGTGCAGCCAATACTGTCACTCAAGTTTCTCCAGCCAGAAGTGCATTGAGACTGTCACTCAAGTTACTACGCCCAGAAGTGCAGCCGAGACTGTCACTCAAGCTTCTCCAGCCAGAAGTGCGGCCGAGACTGTCACTCAAGTTTCTCCAGCCAGACGTGCAGCCGAGACTGTCACTCAAGTTTCTGTAGCCAGAAGTGCATTGAGACTGTCACTCAAGTTTCTGTAGCCAGAAGTTCAGCCGAGACTGTCACTCAAGTTTCTCCGGCCAGAAGTGCATTGAGACTATCACTCACGTTTCTCCGTCCAGAAGTACATTGAGACTTGAGACTGTCACTCAGGTTTCTCTAGTCAGAAGTGCAGCCGAGACTGTCACTAAAGTTTCTCCAGCCATAAGTGCAGCCATAAGACTGTCACTGCAGGATCAGCCTCATATTTTAAAATTATAGCGCTTAGTAAAAGAATAAATATGGAGACCAAAGCCATAATTAATGTTGTCTTTGTCCTTACCCTAATGCTGTCTTTGTCCTTACCCTAATGCTGTCTTTGTCCTTACCCTAATGCTGTCTTTGTCCTTACCCTAATGCTGTCTTTGTCCTTACCCTAATGCTGTCTTTGTCCTTACCCTAATGCTGTCTTTGTCCTTACCCTAATGCTGTCTTTGTCCTTACCCTAATGCTGTCTTTGTCCTTACCCTAATGCTGTCTTTGTCCTTACCCTAATGCTGTCTTTGTCCTTACCCTAGTGCTGTCTTTGTCCTTACCCTAATGCTGTCTTTGTCCTTACCCTAATGCTGTCTTTGTCCTTACCCTAATGCTTTCTTTGTCCTTAACCTAATGCTTTCTTTGTCCTTACCCTAATGCTGTCTTTGTCCTTACCCTAATGCTGTCTTTGTCCTTATCCTAACGATGTCTTTGTCCTTACCCTAATGCTGTCTTTGTCCTTACCCTAATGCTTTCTTTGTCCTTAACCTAATGCTTTCTTTGTCCTTACCCTAATGCTGTCTTTGTCCTTACCCTAATGCTGTCTTTGTCTTTACCCTAATGCTGTCTTTGTCCTTACTCTAATGCTGTCTTTGTCCTTACCCTAATGCTGTCTTTGTACTTACCCTAATGCTGTCTTTGTCCTTACCCTTATGCTGTCTTTGTCCTTACCCTAATGCTGTCTTTATCCTAACCAACATTCTAACCCTTATTTGCCAGATTCAGACCTGAGCTATGAATATAAGGCTCGAAAAATGTTCATCTGTGACATGAGATTTTTAAGAAAATACCACATTTGGAACCGAGAAATAAAACAAATATTTAGAATCATTGCAATCAATCAGAACAGATGCTGGTTGGCCGAGCGGTCTAAACTGAGGCAATCCAAAGCTAATGGACTGGAGTTCAATTCCCAGCAAGTCTGTGTTAAGTGTTCCCTAAACGCCCTAAACGGGAACATTCCTCAGGTGTCACACCAAGTACTTCAACTCCCCGTCACGCCTCACCGGTAGAAGCGGTCAGAAGAAGAAGAAAAGGCAATTATTGCTTCGCAAAATAGTTCAACTCCCCGTCACGCCTCACCGGTAGAAGCGGTCAGAAGAAGAAGAAAAGGCAATTATTGCTTCGCAAAATAGTTCAACTCCCCGTCACGCCTCACCGGTAGAAGCGGTCAGAAGAAGAAGAAAAGGCAATTATTGCTTCGCAAAATAGTTCAACTCCCCGTCACACCTCACCGGTAGAAGCGGTCAGAAGAAGAAGAAGAGGCAATTATTGCTTCGCAAAATAGTTCCACATTTATACCGATTCCTCTTTCTTTTTTTTTTTAATCCCATGTTCTGATCCGGCGCAACAGAAAACCTATTTCCACAGTTTCAGCCACAACATCCAGCAAGCGCATTGTCCATGGAGACCTGACCACAACATCCAGCAAGCGCATTGTCCATGGAGACTTGGCCTTGCCATGGAGCCACCCCTATCAGGCCACATTACAATACGCTCAAGGAGACCAGTGGTATCATTTTTGTGGAGGTAGTCTGGTTGCACCTGATAAGGTAAGACATTGTTGTGAAGGTAGCCTGGTTGCATTAGAAAAACTATGACATTGTTGTGGAGGTAGCCTTGTTGCACCTGATAAATTAAGACATTATTGTTGGGTTATTTAAGGTAAGACATTGCTGTGCGGGTAGCCTGATTGCACCTGATAAGGTAAGACATTGTTGTGAAGGTAGCCTGGTTGCACCTGATAAGGTAAGACATTGTTGTGAAGGTAGCCTGGTTGCACCTGATAAGGTAAGACATTGTTGTGAAGGTAGTCTGGTTGCATCAGAAAAAGTATGACATTGTTGTGGAGGTAGCCTTGTTGCACCTGTAAGGTAAGACATTGTTGTAGGGGTAGCCTGGTTGCATCAGATAAAGAAGACATTGTTGTAGAGGTAGCCTGTTTGCATCAGATAAGGAAGACATTATGGTTTCACAATCCTCATTGCTAAAATTAAAATAAAATCTTAATAAAATTATTTTGTTACGTTAATTTAAAACATACTTACCATGCATCATTTTGATTATAAATTTAATATACATTTAAGTATACATTTAATATAGAATCTTAAGTTTGATAAGACTGAAAGACACCATCAAAAGTTCGGAATCTTGTCACAATGGAGGTGTAGTAACGTTACAGGTAGTCCAAGTTTCTGCACAAGTTTGAACTTTGAACTAGAGCAGATTAACAAATCTTTTATCATTGGAATTACTTGTTTACTCAATTTCTGATTTGACCTACTAAACTCTTTCCCATATAAGTATAAGTTCGTGTAAAGCAGGGTTTCCTAACCGGGGTGCGTGGTGCAGCATTGCTTGGAACTCGCTGAAAGGATTTAAGAAGCAATTGGGTGGCTGAGGCATCAGCATTAAGTCAGTTATTATTTAAATACACGAAGTTATTATTTTTGTTTTAAATTAATATATACAAATTTACTTTTTGTTATTCAGTAAAAAAAAATTAAAAATACTTGTCCAAGGTTTTGACTGCGGCTCACTGTCTCTTTGGTCTACCAGCCACAAGTCTTAGAGTTGGTTTAGGCTGGCACAACATCACACAGGAGATGAGTGGCCATGAACAGACATTTAATGTTGCACAAGTTTTCATTCATGAGTAAGTCGTCATTGTTACAAGTTACACTTAAGTTGCACATTCAGTTACACAATAATTTCTGGATAACATATTGTTTTTTATAAAATTATTTCCCTACATGTGAAAGAGCCAAAACACAAATTTACGAGTCTTGGACAGCAAATACAAACTAAAAAGTCATAGACAAGACAACAAACACAAAATAGCAAGTCTTGGACAGCAAACACCAACTAAATAGTCTTAGACAAGACAGCTAACACAAACTAACAAGTCTTAGACAAGACAGCAAGCACAAACTAACAAGTCTTGGACAGCACATTCAAGCTAACAAGCTTTAGACAGCAAGCACAAACTAACAAGTCTTGGACAGCACATACAAACTAACAAGTCTTAGACAGCAAACACAAACTAACAAGTCTTAGACAGCCAGCACAAACTAACAAGTCTTAGACAGCCAGCACAAACTAACAAGTCTTAGACAGCCAGCACAAACTAACAAGTCTTAGACAGCCAGCACAAACTAACAAGTCTTGTACAGCAAATGCAAACTAACAAGTCTTAGACAGCAAAGATAAAGGCATATAAAAATATTTCAATGAAATGATCGAATGTGTCGTTTCAAAACTTAAGGTAATCAAGAACACGCGTGGCATCGTTATTAGTATCATTACAGTAAAGATCTGTAGTATCATACAGTAAAGATCTGTAGTATCATGCAGGAAAGATCTGTAGTATCATACAGTAAAGATCTGTAGTTTCATGCAGGAAAAATGTGATGTATCAAGCAGAAAAGATATGTAGTATCATGTATAAAATATGTGTTGTATCATGCAGAAAAAATATGTAGCATCATGCAGGAATAATCTGTAGTGTCACGCGGGAATGATCTGCCGCGAGCACGTAATCAGATGACTTGTGTCAGAGACTTTAAATGTCGATGTTATTCATTAGAGACTTAAAATGTCGATGTTATTTATTAGAGACTTTAAATGTCGATGTTATTCATTAGAGACTTTAAATGTCGATGTTATTTATTAGAGACTTTAAATGTCGATGTTATTCATTAGATACTTAAAATGTCGATGTTATTCATTAGAGACTTAAAATGTCGATGTTATTCATTAGAGACTTAAAATGTCGATGTTATTTATTAGATACTTAAAATGTCGATGTTATTCATTAGAGACTTAAAATGTCGATGTTATTTATTTGAGACTTTGCTGGAATCAAAACGGTATTTTTATGAAATTGTAAATTATTATCAAAGTTTACTATCCATGTCTACTATCCGTGTTTACTATCCATGTTTACTATCAAAGTTTACTAATTATATCTACTATCCATGTTTACTATCCATGTTTATTATCCATGTCTACTATCCGTGTTTACTCAATAAAATCGCAAGCTTAATTTCCTTGTTAAATTAACGTATGTATAACTTAACTTATAGTTTACACTATTAATAGACACATTATTATTGTTATGTTACCAGATTAGTACTGTAGCATACTAAACTACACTTTACACTTGTGCCACATATTCTTTACAAATGAACCTATACTTAACACTTGTAGTACATGTACTTTTTACACCTGTAATATGAGTACATATTATTTACATTTGTAGTAGATGAGTACATATACTTTACACTTGTAGTAGATGAGTACCTATTCTTTACACTTGTAGTAGATGAGTACCTATACTAACATTTGTAGTAGATGAGTACCTATACTTTAGATGTGTAATAGATGAGTATCTATAATATCAAACTGTAGTAGATTAATAACTATACTTAACAATTGTAGTAGATGAGTACCTATACTTTACATTTGTAGTAGATGAGTAATTATACTTTACAATTGTTGTAGATGAGTACCTATAATTTACACTTGTAATAGTAGAGGAGTATCTATACTTTACAATTGGAGTAGATGAGTACCTATTCTTAACATTTGTAGTATAGGAGTACCTACACAGTACAATTGTAGTAGATGGGTACCACATTAATAAAATAAACAAATTGACATTTATGCCAAAGCAAGCACAAATATATTGATAAGGGAACGCTTCGCGTTTAAAACTCTTCAAAATAAATGGTTTTCTCAAGTTTTAAGTATACTTTTAGCTACCTCTACAATATATCCAAATCTTTCTGTTTTTATACTTTTAGCTACCTTTACAATATATCTAAATCTTTCTGTTTTTATACTTTTAGCTACCTCTACAATATATCTAAATCTTTCTGTTTTTTTATACTTTTAGCTACCTCTACAATATATCTAAATCTTTCTGTTTTTTATACTTTTAGCTACCTCTACAATATATCTAAATCTTTCTGTTTTTATACTTTTAGCTACCTTTACAATATATCTAAATCTTTCTGTTTTTTTATACTTTTAGCTACCTCTACAATATATCTAAATCTTTCTGTTTTTTATACTTTTAGCTACCTCTACAATATATCTAAATCTTTCTGTTTTTATACTTTTAGCTACCTTTACAATATATCTAAATCTGTTTTTATACTTTTAGCTACCTTTACAATATATCTAAATCTTTCTGTTTTTATACTTTTAGCTGCCTTTACAATATATTTAAATCTTTCTGTTTTTATACTTTTAGCTACCTTTACAATATATCTAAATTTTTCTGTTTTTATACTTTTAGCTACCTTTACAATATATCTAAATCTTTCTGTTTTTATACTTTTAGCTACCTTTACAATATATCTAAATCTTTCTGTTTTTATACTTGTAGCTACCTTTACAATATATCTAAATCTTTCTGTTTTTATACTTTTAGCTACCTTTACAATATATCTAAATCTTTCTGTTTTTATACTTTTAGCTACCTTTACAATATATCTAATCTAACTCTTTCTGTTTATCCTTTTAGTTGCCTTCACAATAAATCAAAATTACCCCTAAACTAAATCAGGACCACATATCTTTATGACTGGCTAAGTATAATCTTATTTGTGTTGTTATTGTGTACGATTATAAAACCTGTATTATTTCTTTGTACCCACCAATGATCTAGTCAGTATAGACCATATACCCCTGGCTTTCCCAACGACATTGCCATAGTTACCTTTGAGAACAACGCTACACTCAATGAGTATGTGGACGTAGCTGTCCTGCCAACAGAGGAGATCGCTGGACAGGGCGAGTCGTGCACTGTGTCCGGCTGGGGGCGAACTTCTGGCCTGGGAATATCTGCGCATGTACTTTCTCAGGTAAACATAATTTGTGTTATGTGTGTGATTATGTGTTTGGTGTGACTTAATGTGTCTTTGGTGTGTTAATATGTGTTTGATGTGTGTTTGGAGTGTATGAATATGTGTTTGATGGGTTAATGTGTGTTTAAGTGTGTTTAATGTGTATGAATATGTGTTTGATGTGTTATTATGTGTTTAATGTGTTAATATGTGTCAATATGTGTTTGGTGTGTTAATGTGTGTTTGATGTGTTAATGTGTGTTTGATGTGTTTATATGTGTTTGATGTGTGTTAATATGCGTTTGATGTGTTAATGTGTGTTTATGTGTGTTTGATGTGTTAATGGGTGTTTGATATGTTAATGTGTGTTTGATGTATTAATATGTGTCAATAGGTGTTTGGTCTGTTAATGTGTGTTTGATGTGTTAATGTGTGTTTGATGTGTTAATGTGTGTTTGATGTGTGTTAATGTGTGTTTGATGTGTTAATGTGTGTTTGATGTGTGTTTGATGTGTTAATGTGTGTTTGATATGCTAATGTGTGTTTGATTTGTTAATGTGTGTTTGATTTGTTAAAAAAGTGTGTTAATGTGTGTTTGATGTGTTAATGTGTTTGATGTGTGTGAATATGTTTTTTTACATGTAGACTACATTAAATGAGTCTTGTTGGGTATGTGTATATGTGTGTGTAAATGTTTGTTTATTGATTGCTGAGGTGTGGACAAACGCTTTGCATCTTCAGAATCGCTCACCTGAACAGGCAACTTTTATAAACTCCATTGTGTATCTAGATATAGTTTATATGTGTCCTAATCATAGGCAGTCTTCATTGTGTATCTAGATATAGTTTATGTGTCCTAATCATAGACAGTCTTCATTGTGTATCTAGATATAGTTTATAATGTATCCTAATCATAGGCAGTCTTCATTGTGTATCTAGATATAGTTTATAATGTGTCCTAATCATAGACAGTCTTCATTGTGTATCTAGATATAGTTTATAATGTGTCCTAATCATAGACAGTCTTCATTGTGTATCTAGATATAGTTTATAATGTATCCTAATCATAGGCAGTCTTCATTGTGTATCTAGATATAGGTTATTATGTGTCCTAATCATAGACTGTCTTCATTGTGTATCTAGATATAGGTTATAATGTGTCCTAATCATAGACAGTCTTCATTGTGTATCTAGATATAGGTTATAATGTGTCCTAATCATAGACTGTCTTCATTATGTATCTAGATATAGGTTATAATGTGTCCTAATCATAGACAGTCTTCATTGTGTATCTAGATATAGGTTATAATGTGTCCTAATCATAGGCAGTCTTCATTGTGTATCTAGATATAGGTTATAATGTGTCCAAATCATAGACAGTCTTCAGTGTCATTAGAGTCCCTGGAGTGGGTGTGGGCATAAAATAAGACACATTATGTCTCTTCAATTTTATTTACTTTTGATAATACTGTAAAATGTGAATAAACATTGCATACAGTTGCGTAGCGAGACAGTGTGCCGCTCTGGGTGGAATGATCATTGCATACAGTTGCGTAGCGAGACAGTGTGCCGCTCTGGGTGGAATGATCATTGCATACAGTTGCTAAGCGAGACAGTGTGCCGCTCGGGGTGGAATCATCATTGCATACAGTTGCTAAGCGAGACAGTGTGCCGCTCGGGGTGGAATGATCATTGCATACAGTTGCTAAGCGAGACAGTGTGCCTCTCGGGGTGGAGTGCCCCCCCCCCCCTTTTTTTTTTCATTAGCCACTTTTTCTATACAACATCAAATGGTGGATTTCATTATTCTTACATTACATTTAACTGACATTGTTGACAGTCCACCCTCACAGCCATCCCCAACGAAGAGTGTGCCATGCGGTACAATGGTGTCACTGGTGCACGCGTCTACAGCAGTCATATCTGTGTCTATGAACCGCCTAAATCTGCGTGTAGTGGTGACAGTGGGGGGCCGGTGGTATGTAATGGATATCTAACTGGCGTCTCGTCTTGGGGGAGCAGCGCCTGCGATGGTTCGTATCCAAGTGTATATGTAAAAACTTCTTCTTTCCTTGACTGGATTAAACAGCACCTGTAGTTCCACCGAAACATACATAAAATAATAAATATTTTTTTAAAATAAATCCTTTTATCTTATTATTCTTATTTTTATTTAAGATATCCCCAAGTGAAAATCTATAAACATAAGTAGAAGGGTAACTATTGTAACTAATGCATTCTTAATTTAATTTTTTAAAATAGTAAACTTTTATTTTTTTAAAATCAACATTTATAAATGTATTATAGCTACTTTGTTGAACTCAAGTTTAGCAAAGATATTCTCATTCTTCATTTTACTCAAGTTTAAAAAAAATATTAAAATTAAAACATCCATTAATTTAATCGATAAAGACGAAGAGAGACGAAGAAATACTTTTTTTTTTTTTTTTAATGGGGAATAACTTAAGGATAAATGTATTTTTAGTCTCTGTGAATCTTTTAAAGGAGAATATTTCAGAAATTATATAGAAAGTTTTCATTGAGACAATCTTCGAGACATCTCGTGAACAAATAGAAAGGTACTTTTTACTCCCTCTTAAAAACAAACAGTTAGTTGTCATTTTGATAATTTAAGTTAATAACGAATTAGTGCAGACGTTTGATATCACAATAAAGAAAAGATCTCAGGCAAATGAATAAACACAAACCTGATTTCAGCCTGATCACGAGGCCAATACCCAATGCATAATTTTGTTGGTTTGTAGACCCTCATATTAATATTAATTTTATTTCAATTCAATTATTCAAAGTTGTGAACATTAGATTTATTTTAAATAAACTTTAAAATATTAATTAAGGGAAAAATTCTAAGAAAAATTACTGATTAGCCCCTACTGTATTCGATAAAAAAAAGTTCAGGCATTGGCGTAGACCTAACTGTGAAAAAGTAAGAACATTCAGTGGTATTTTCTTACCTGGTATCTTATTTAGCCTAAAATAAAAAGTAAGTATTTGCTCTTTACATAAATCGAATCCATCACTGTCTGGGATATTGCCATTAGTTAGAACATTTGGCATTTGGTAAGTTTGTTGATTTTTTCAGCAATGCCTTGCGAGATATTGTTTCTAATCCTAACCATTATAAAAATATATATAACGAAGGGGCTATTCGGACCCGGGTCCCTTTAGACTAAATGCTATTCGGATGTCACTTGTGGTAGTTTATTTTAGTTAAAGTTAAACTGAAGAATTAAGTTTATAAACATATACACTTAGTCCATTCAAGTATCTTTCATTTGATACCAAATTTTGTCGTACAAACCCTACAATAATATTTTAATTTTTTTTTTATAAACCCAAGATCTCACTTCTGAGACCGGGTCCGAATAGCCGCAGCCTATATATAAAGTGTTGCTATGTTGTTTTATTTTTATTCGCGGAAAAAAAAAAAAAAAAAAAACCCTCGGACAAAAAAAAAAACAAAAAAAATTTTTTTATTTTTATTCTCGGAAAAAAAAAAAAAAAAAAAAAAAGCTGACGGACAAATATCTCGCGCATAACATCTCACGCAACGTTGTTTTGTTACGGCGATCATGTGACGTTGTAGTCAAACGAATATCTTGAGAACTTATTCGTCCGGTCTTTGGATATGTAGTCACTTCGTATTGAAAACACGACAAGATACAGTTTTTCACACCTTCGAAGGATGAAAACAATTTCGGATACCCTAAAACTTGGCATAATTGAAATTTCACTACCAGAAGCGTGACTGCGAAGGATCACTCAGACGAAGGGCCCTGAGAAGTTAAATGATAAATGGTAAGCGCTCCCCATACTAAGAATACTACGACTACTCGGTGACAGTTAAAGTTAATCAAATTAAAGTTCTTAAAATTTATTTTGGGAATCCCTTGCCGAAACTTGCCTTAGCCCTTATGAATGGTCTTATTTATTATTTTAGCGCGATCAATTATTTCTAGTGAAATGCATTTTAAAAAATCGAAGTGGTTATGCGCAGCCGACTACGTATAACCCTGAGAGTTATACGCAGTCGGCAAGTCACGTGAGGTCTATATGAGTCCTGTGTTACATTATCGATCGATAAAGGTGCCTACTAATCAGATTTACTGGGTGGTTGAATGGTCTAAACTGAGCAAACCTCAAGTTGGTGCACTTGAGTTCAATTCCAGCCGAAGGTCAGCCATGAATACGTGTTAGTTGTTATGATTGTTCTCGAGAATGGAGCAAAAATAGCTAGGCTTATTGTTTTATTTTGTTGTGGCTAAAACTAAAACATGTTTAAACAAATTAAACATGATAAGAATTATTAACTTGACCAATGTAAAGTTAATAATGTTATTCTTATAATTATCATATTATATGTTTGTGTTGTTAATATATATTTTGTGCTGTTAACTAATTTTGTGGCAGATAAAAACATGTTTCTCTGGTACAGTAATTATAATCAGGGGTGGTGAGTAGCAGAAAAAATAGCTGTAGGGGCAGTGGTTCTGTAGAGAGGGCACTGTATGTAAATGTAAGTAATACTTTCAAACAGTTATAGTTTTGCATGGAAGCTGAAAACTGTTACATTTATGTCACCCCAAAAAATATTTATAAATTATAATCGGCATCCTTCCGTCTCGTGAGACGATGGTGCATCACCGTTGGGTTGGGTTGCATTTACTCGACTGGCTGTGCAGTCCTATCCTTGAGTGACAGTCTTTACCACTGTTTTTACACACGAGTTCCGTGCTTCTAAATGTTTTGGCCTTTCTCCTAGCTCTTCTGTCTGCAGCCTCTTCCATTCTTCGCTCCTCGGCTACCATGACGCCCTCTTTGACAACTGTGCGCCACGTAGATCGGTCTTTTGCCTTATGCCTTATAAATTATATAATTTTTAAAAATAAATAGAATATATTTCCTGAATTAGTCAGTAAAACCAACCACATGATGGTCATAGCAACATATAAAAAACTAATCAATCAGAATACAGAACTAGACTTAGACCATAGAAATGCCTTTTAAAAAATCATCTTCTCAGGCTTAGACTCTAAGAAATGTGACTTTGACTTAGATTTATAATTATAATATATAAGATTATACAAGCAATAATACTAATAATAGTACTAATACTATCATTCAATATTAATTAAAATTAATTCAATTAAAATTTTACGTTAATTAAACACATTAAAAGTTATAGTTCAAAACAATCCATCATGCAGCTAATTATGCATAATACTTTTTTTTTAAAATTGCCAAACTAGCGGTGATAAACCTTATTTGGCTAAATTCCCAGCCGACTGCGGATAACCCTGAGAGGTATACGCAGTCGGCTGGGAATAACCCTCAGGGTTATACGCAGCCGACTGCGTATAACGCTTCCCTTTAAAAATTCCTTTTTACCTGATGACATGATACCCATATTATAGTATTCCGCGCTACCTTGTATTCATAGTAGTATAGTATAGTATAGTCAGGAAATTAAAGAAACTAATCAAGAAAGCTAGTAATATCACACAAATTAAATTAAACATCCTTCATTTCATTTGTTATAAAACTAAAAAAATTTGGGTGATACATCCCACGCTCTTTCATTATCACAGTTACCTAAGATAAACTCATAGTCAGGGTGAATTCTTTCCATTAAAGTTAGTGGTATCCAAAAATAAATAAAATTATTGGCTAATTTGGAGAGATAGCACCGTGGCCTACATCTTGGTTTAGTCCTAAATGTATCCCTAAACCTAACCTGAACCCTAAACTTATCCCTAACTTGTGTTTTGACCCTATCTGAACCAATGTTTTGACCCTATCTAAACCAGGGACAAAAACAGGCAAATGATGTCAGAGTGCTATCTCTCCAAATTAGCCAAACTATTTTGTTCCCCAGTCAGAACAAATTTACCAGCAAGCTCCCAGCTAATTGATCACTAATTAAGTCATTATTGTCACAGTTTATTGATAATTGATTTCTATCCTTGAGAAATACTTAAAAAATTGTTATAAGGTAAATGCAAAGAGATGGCGTATCACACAGCCGCCATATTAGTTTTGCAACCCATGAACTTTTACTGGTTCACGCGTCGTGGCAATCGAGATGGCGGCCATGTAAAAATAAAATAACTCATGTTTGCTAAATTTAGGAATAAAACGTTAAAATTTAATTAAAAAATGTCCAAAGGTACATACTTTTTGTGGTGACATAGCTACTTTATTGTAACCTTCTAGATATTTGGTAAGAAGCGTCAATGACCTGTGATCGCTCCTTTCCTTGAGTAATTCAGTCGGTACACATACAAAATAATTCGCTGTCACTAAACTTTAGCTGAACCCTAAATGTATCCCTAAACCTAACCTGAACTCTAACATGATGCTGAGCAATCAAATAAAGAAGATGGGGGCACCTGTGAGATTGCATTCTGGGATTGATTGGCCTAATAAGCAAGAAATATTTATTAAAAAATATTTTTTTTTGTTTTTGGTAAGTTTTCCCAAAACAAAAAATTCCCATTCACCTCTGTCTGTTTGACGACACACATAAAAATTGTCTCTTTGACGATACACTTACAAATTGTCTGTTTGACGACACACATACAATTGTCTGTTTGACGACACACATACAAGATTCACAACTCATATACCTAATGTATTTTAATTTGATATGATAATTTAATATAATTATATATAATATACAATAAGTCAAATGTTGGTCAAGATATTTTTCATACAATATTGTGTCAGTTACCTTCATTAAATAAGCATATTTACACAAACCTCACAAGCTCATTGCAACATCAGCATAGATGATGGCCATTTTTTTTTTCAAGCCGTTGCGTGTTATATCTCTCGCAAAAAACTATTTATAACTTTATCACTTGTATTAAAATTTCACTAAATATTCATTGATATCAGTCTACAACTCTCATCATTGTTTTTGTATCTGTCAGGTCCGTGGCAAGGGAGATGTGCGAGACAAACTAAAATTTTACTGGAGCAATGAAAGGTGGTGGAGGCAGAGAATCGCTCACTTGTCTTGGAGAACGAACAACAAAGACAGCTGTATGAGGAATGCCACCATAGCCCACCAGGTGG